AAGATGACGATATCCCTCTAGAAGCCATATCCTATAATATCTACCTATGGTACTTATCTTTTGTTCTAAACAAACTCCCCCACTTACAAAAACGGACTCTTTCCTTTGAAATAAATTCATATCCACGTCACTGCCAAGGATAACCATCTTCCTAATAGAAAAGACCAACCTATCCCTTCACATTGAAAAAATGACCGACTCTTGCAAAAGAAGAAAATTAGCCTTATCAAAAAAAAGGATGCGACTTAGCCTTATTTTGGCCTTATCAACAAACACACTAACGGATTTAAAATAAAAAAACGCATAAATCCTAAACACACCAACGGACTCATGCAAATAAAAAAATAAAAAATAAACAAGATATTTCTTCTTCTTTTGATCGCGATCCGATTGCTCCTGATAACGGAGTGCAATCATCTCGACTGCATCACTTCCCTAAAGGTATGCCTCCATGAGACGTGCATATCCCTTGCCAATGTGTGAAATCTCGTAAAAAATGTGGTTAAGTCTCCAAGAGCAAGGTGTGTTCCCTAGTGTGGTTTTGGGTAGGATTTCGGTAGGTGGGACAAAAGTTGGGTTTTGGGTCCGGGATTGTCTAGGGAAGGAGACTAGGTCAGGGTCCAATGATTTAGGGGTGCAGGCACGTAGGAATTCTCTTAGCCAAAAACAGGCGCGTGCACGCACACACACATGCACAAAAATATATATTTCACAAACATGTGATTTGCATGAGCAATAGCCATCTTGCAATGAAATCACGCTACTGTCTTTATTGACAAGAAAATCTTCTAACCATTTATTTCCGTGTTCTCTTTCAGGAAAAAGTAAAGGATATTAAAGTAACTCCCTCTTTTGAAAAGATACACACCACGACCATTGATATTGAAACTTGAAACAGGAAATGCACATTATTCCTGAAGATATAGTAACAAAAGATACATTACATACTGAAAGAGGGAAGTAATAACATTATCATTGTGCTCATCTACATTGCATGTAAAATGCAATGATGTAGTGAGATTGGGTGCCAGTCATCCAAAATACAGATGTGAGATCATTTAAGCCCATGACAGGACTGCTTATGCTTTCCATTTCAACAATAAAGTGTTGATAATTGGGTCATTCATCCCATAGATGTCAAGGAAAACTGCTAAAAGGTGGTAAACTCCTTTCTCCTGAAAAACTTCCTAGAAGTCGGTATGATCTTATTTTCCAAAGTTGAGGCAAATAGATTCATCCATATCCTTCTCATCCTCCTCACATATTTCCAAGTTCACCATGTAACCCCTGTCTTTCCTCCATGTTTCCCGAGTATTCCCATCTGCTACCTTGATTATGAGTTTCAAATGTAACAGAAAAAACTCCTACAAAGTAATTAATTATCAATTCTCCATAGCATTTCATTGGATTACATTATACATTCTACATGTTCTTGTTTCATAAAGAACGCCCCTCAGGCTGAACAAAACACTTCAGTTCAGATAAGTCCTCAGAAACTGCAGCGAATGTCTAAAGAGCAGGGAAAGCTTGAACAAATGACTGAAGATCAAGAATTCAAAGTAGGATTAACATTTCAGTGTTGCAAATGCCTGAGTGAAACTATAACATGCAGGAAGGGGAACATATACTATATTGTCCAAATAATACCAAATCTTGGCGAAATTGGGAAAGAATTTCATACCACGCCACTTAAGGTACTTAACACATTTTGTGAGAAAGTGATCTTGGTGGTACATGTGAGAAATAAAGAATAGAGTTCCCTTTATTATAAGGTGGAAAATTTACCTATTCAGTAAAGTTTTTTTATGGCCCTGGCCAGAACATCAGCAACTTGACCTTAAGTATTTCTGCATTGACCTCTTTCCAATTTATGTAACCTCAATATACTATAATATCTTGTTTTCAACTTGACCTGAAGTATTTCTATACTGAACCTGAAACTAGCCTTTTTTCATAATGTAACCTCAATATATTATAATAATCTAGTTTTTATTAGGAATTCGATCCAAATAAATCATAATTGCCTTTTCTTTTCAAAAATGGAAATTTTAACCATTTCAAATACCACAATCTATCCAAACTAGCCAACAAGCCAAGAAAGTAACAACATTGCAGACTCCAAACATAGTATCAAGGAATGCAATTCCTTAATGATTTCAGGACAAATGCTAAAACATATATAACTTAATTCATCATTAGTAAAAACTAACAACCCAGGAACAATTAATTAAAACCAAAATAAAAGGGCCTAATACCCTTCAGGCAATATAGAAAGAGAAAAAAACAACTAGTATAAGAACTGGAAATGCTGCCTCTCAGTGCATACCTACGCTGTTTAACATACCCATCACACACATGGTGATGGCATGGGAATTAAAGACAGGGAATGGAAGAAGCTTGTATGTGTTTTAATCTTGATATATAATGGAATTTAGAGAGGTTATTTAGTACCTTTCTTACAATGAATACCGACATCTGGTAGTTTAATCATTCTCTTAGTCATTCAAGTTATATGCAATGTAAAATATATATTAGATAACTCAATAAGATTTATCTATCACAAAGTCCATCATTGATGCAGTGTTTATTCTTCAAGCACATTAAAAAAAAAGAAATCCAGAAAATGTAACAGAAAACTATATGAGGATATAACCTTCATGAGTTGAAATTTGAAAATATGGAACAACTCTATATAATCATCCGTAACATGCTTCTAAATTGTCAGTGGTTTAAACAAATTATGTATGACTTCTTCAATCAGTCAATTAATTAAAAAAAAATAAGCATTTCTCTGTGATCATATGTCATATATAAGAACTTATGCTCAGTTTTAGGAATAACAACAGGCAAAAGTCATTATGGACATAATGATAACCTTGAATTTCAAATGGGAAAGTATCCAGAATGCGAAGGACAATGGAAAACCATTGTCTAAAATGGACAGTGTGATGGAGAGCATAGAGATAATGGAACCCATTCGAATACGTGACCCCAATGGTTGGAGCCTATCTCTCTCCATCTCCAACAGTCAAATCAATGGATGGTAATGGTGCCCATTAGAATATGGTTTCTCCATAGTTCATTGGATTATAGTATTTTCCCCTCCCCAATATATGACGTGCGTACTAGAACTGAATTGCACCAAATGCTATCATCTACAAAGAGGTGGAATTGAGAAAAAAAATATCGTGAAGCAGCAGAGGGCAATATTCCAAACCTTGGAGCTCCATATCTGAAGTGACTAAATCAAGCTGAAGTAGATCAAGAAGGCGACCAAGATCAACAGCACTAGTCCAGTTCTCAGGACCAGCCCCATCCTTAAGCTTCAGGCGGCCTCGGTTTGCTGTACCACCCCAGATAATGCCTAAAGGTCTAGGTTTTTCACCATTCTCACTATTAATAAGTATAACACTGCCGCTATCACCTTCAAGATCAAATGCTTGTGTATTCTCTCCAACCACAAGAAAGTCAGTGAAGAAGCAAATGCCTTTCTCATCATTATACTCCAACGCATAGGCCAGGATGGTGCCTCTGGTTAAGCCAGAGCTTCTCCCTACTTTTACGACGTGCTTCCCAATAAGGCTTCCTATGGGTGCTTGTAGGTTGACATGCATAACCTCACCCATATCCCCAACACCTTTTACTATAGTTGTGACTTTGGACATATCAAAGCTATCTGCAAATGGGACAAAAGCCCCGTCTGCCCGTACAAATGTCTCTGTGGTAAAACCAAGGAAGGTTAGAAAAACTCCAAAAGTTAACTACCTTTGTAAATCAAATGAAATAGCTCACAGAGAGAGGCCTTATCCCCAAACCATAAATTAAGCTTTTAACAGGATGGCAGTACAATCAAAACCACGTTAAACGCACTATAATTGACAGTTATGGAAATGGAAAAATATACAATATTAAGTCAACTATGGAGGGTATCGCTTCCTAATTAAATACTGGAAGGTAATGGGGAGAGCATGGGTCTGGCCAAAATAGGAAATGACTCCAATGGTGAGTCCAACTCTTATCTCCCCCAACATCCACCATTTACTTGGACCATGATGATCCGAATAGATTATGGAGCCCACTGAGTGATAATATACCTCCTCATGAATGAATGAAATCCATAAGGTCCCATCTTAAATGGTAATGTTAAAACAACAAACAATCCCACAACTCAAACAAAAATGAATAGTTATTATAAAAGAAATAAGCAAATGAATAAATCAAAAGTCAAAACTAACCTGGATTTGTGCTAGCGAATATTCCATACCACAATTCATCTGTAATGAAGGATGTTGCTCTTTCAACAGCACCCAAATAGACACCAGGACCAAGGTTAGGTGGTAAAGGATGAAACATTTTCTGATTAGGATAGTCCAAGTCCACTGCAACATGACGATTTGTCAAGAAACCCACCTGGTGAGAACCAGTTCGGCTTTTCACAATTGTTCCAAGGGTTCCATAGGTCTCTTGACTTGCAACCTGGAACCAGGAAATTACAATTTCAGAACAGGTGACTTGAGGAGGGGATGAAGAATGACATCAGTTGATAACTTAGAGCAATACAGACATAGTTCTAAAGAAAAGAGTTTGACATGATTTTCGAACTAGATGGTTTCAGTAATCAAAACAGAACGTATATTTAAATTTTTTTGACATAGTAACTAACAATCATAAAAGGTAAAAGCGCAAATGAGTTTCTCAAAACACTAAAGCTTTCCTAGTTTTGCAAACTCGGGGAATTCAAATATAGGTAAGACCTCAAAAAGAACATAGCCTTGTGTGGCATTTCTGACTTCCACTTTCTACTTCCTTAAAGCACTTGTCTTTTGATAGTTTATATGTTGTAGAAGAAACAAGCTTAAAGGAGTTAGCTTTAAGAACTTCGGAAAATTCATCATGACATGTCAAGAGACTCAAGAAGTAACTACTTGCCAAGATTTGTCATAAGTCTATCTATAAGACATTCATATCCATAAGATGAATACCATTTTAAAAACTCGTGAATCAAGTCACTGATTTCCCTGAATCAACTACGTTGGACCCTCATGAGAAGATCCCTAACCCAAAAAATGTCACCCTCGATAAAACTCCAAATGTCCCTGACATGGAATAAATGATGAAAATTGCTTTACCAATAACTTCAGGCCATTCAATAATTCCATTAAAAATTCCTAAGAGACCAACACAGTCCATCTTTGTGCCATGAGTCAGAAGAGAAGATGTAAAAACCTCCATGGTTTCCTTTTTCTATTTATTTGGGCCTTAAGAGTTTGCATCCCAAATCATGGGTTTTGGATGAATAAACATCATGTTAGAGTATCAGGGATGAAAAACCAGATTGATAGCAATGTAAACTATAATTCGCTATATAGGTGGAGATTAAAATGCAACAATGAATACAACATTGAGTCAAGGAAACAAAAATAACCTCGTGAGAGTGAAATAAAATAATTACAAAACACACCAAGCTTCTTAACCAACTCAAGAAATGCATGGGAAACATCTGGCTGCATAAAAGTGAGGCAGACAAGGCCCTCTGCATAAATGTGAGACAACTAGTTTGCAAGAGAAAGGATGAGGGTCCAAACCAAACTGACCAACAAAGAAAAAGTGAGACAGGGTGACCCACAAGTTGACTGTAGGTTTTGGGACTCCCAGGCTCTTCAATAGTTGGAATACAATTTTTGACGAGTGTCAGCAACCTAGTTGTTTGCTAACTCAGAGAGAAAATATAGCCTTCAACATCCTTGATATTGGAAGGGACGAAGTCCTTCAGAGACCGAGTGAACTCAACACCAAGGAACTCACCACCATTTTATCGAAGAAAAAAAGTATATCACTGAACTCAATACCAATGATTAGCGCCTAACATTCCTCATTAGACAATTATCAAACTACACTATGACGACAACAATAACTGACAGCCATATGATATATTCAAGTAAACAAAGATGGGACAGAAATAACACAGCTTTCGTCATTATCCCAAAGAAATGCAACCTAAGTTCCCATGAAATCAGTCTAAGCATGAAGAGCTGGTTTGAGTCCATTAAAGAATACCCAAATTCCAAATGACTGCCCCATGAAGTACAACTAAAGAGGAACCTGGAGTAGGATGCATAGAAGGATCTACAGGAAGGCCCCCATAAACTATTCTTCAAATCATCAGGGGCAACTAACATGAATGTTCTAGAGGCTATGAGAGTTCTATGGTCAGCATATGTAGCAGTAGTCAAATGTTCACCATAACCAATGTCACGATCCTACTTGTAAACTTTGGCCAAAGATGAGTTGCATGTCAATGAATTAACCTCTCATCTATAGCTTTTAGTTTATAAACCTATATAATGGCCAACTTCCATAAAGGCAGTATGATGAAAGTATTAGGCTTCCTCTTGCATGTCTTGATGCCATCAAGATTGTGATGAAAGCTTCTTTATAAGAGGAAGTTTCACAATAAGAGAGAGAGAGAAACTAATAATGCATAAAGTTTGGTCAAATTGAGATGAAAAGTACTCTCATTTGTATGGTCCCTTTTCCAGAATTTATATAATTTGGCAAAAGTTCAATATAAGTATCCCTTATAAAAAGCTATACAAGACAAGACTTCCACAGTTTTGGCACCAGACTCAGCAACTTCATCTTCCTCCTTCCTCCTCACACTTCCAAAAATCATAAGGTCACATGGAAGATGCAGCAACGTAAATTCCACTTTTGGACTACATTCTAAAACAACAAGGTCCTATGGAGATGAAGAAGCCTGCAGACAAATGGATACCAACTAGAGAGCACCCCAATCTGCATTTAAATGGCTTCAACATCCAAATTGAGAATTATTAGTAGATTTTTGCCTCATATACCTGGAAAATGACGAATGCAATTGCATGGTCATACATTCAAGATCAAAGTGGACCGGATGTTCTCTACCTGAGAAACCAAGAGATAAAGCACAATTCCCTCTACACATTATACATGAGCACCTATAGCACTGAGTCACTCTCATCATTAGCCTTAAGCATATTAGGATATTACGATATATCAAATCTTGTCCCAAACAGGCATATACATAGTACCGGGAACTGATTAAGGTCATTCTTTTCAATTGTAATATTAAGAAGTGATTTTGTTATATTATAACCCCTAGAAAGAAAAGAAAGAATGATATCAAGAAAATACACTGTAATCACCACCATGTACTTTATCCACAATACACAAACTCCATTTCCTTTTATAATCCGGGCTTGCTTCAGATAGACCATATGATATGTTGAATGGCTGACAAGAAGTGGGCTCCAGGGACCACTCATGTACTAATGAACTATTTTCAGATATCTGTAGCCAGCAAAGCAGATGAGGTTTCCAAACAATTGATAATACACCATTGGATCTAGCACTGATTGTCTCTCATGTGTAAAGAACTACATGCCCATACCAATTGGCATATTCAACCCTCTTATTATCTGCGAGACATGCCTTATCAACAATATCACCCATGTAGTGAGTGGATAATTCTGTTGCTATGCACAAAAAATGTCACATACTTCATTTAAAAATTTGGTACACTTCAAAATATATGATACCACTAGAATCATCTCCTTCGATCAAAATATAGTCAATTTGTACCAAAAATCAATAGTCTCGGCACGCGCTAATCAAACAAATGTAGAACATCACAATCAGTATGTCTAAAATCATTCCTAGTAAGTGTCTCATGCTCAAGGAGGCAGTCTAGGGGCTTTTGAAGGTGGCACCCTTTGAATTTATATTTTACAAACATCTTTGGATGTGGCTTCAAGTTGATCTTCTCGTGCAAACCACAGTGAAGAAAGGAAGTTTTCACATCCACAAGAAATGACACCCAATGACATGTTGCAGTCATGAATATCACCATCCGAATTGCAGTCCTCTTATCCACATGGGAAAACATCGCTTCAAAACTATATGCATGCTTCCAATTGTATCCAAGGGTTACCATCCCAGCCATATGTTCCCTTTAGAAAAGGAACCAAAATCCCAAGTTTCATTCCTTCACCGCTCCAGGTTCTTCATGTAGCCTTTGGTCAATAAGGCTGTGATGCAGCTTATATGGTTTAGGTTTATACATAGACTCAACTGAACCAAGAAAGGCTCGATGATAAGCATCAAATGAAACACAAAAAATAAAATGATCCACAGGAACAGATATCCAAGAAGAATGACATACCTGACACTTACAAAAGGGATCTGAAACTGGGACTGAAGGATACTCTAGAAGGTAAAGATCTTGCAAATCTCGTAAAACCTGAGATAGGCGTAAGTGACGGCTAAAAACTTTCAGCACAAGAGATTACATGCATTACTTAGGGAAGTTTCAGGAAGACAGCTTAGAATTTTGCCAAGGCCAATCCATGGTTCTAAAATCAGGAGAAATAACAAGTCACATGGTTTGCCTCCAGAGTCGTGTTGAAAACAACTCAAATATGGCAATTGGCTAAAGAAAACAACATTCCATAGACATACAAATTTTCATTAATGGCATGCTAGCATCTACACCCTCTCAAGTCTCAACAAAATGAAGGGTCAGAAAGTTTCTATTATACATATACGAATACAGACACATATGGATAAGGAAATGGGCATACAACTCACTTTCCTAAAGTATAAGACACTGTTACGGGTACAGGTGTCCAATCCGACAAGTTGAAATAAAAGAATAAAATGCAGTAGAAATACCATAAATAACAATTTAGGAAACTGAAACATATATATAGGATCTACCATAGAAAAAGCATTAATAAATAACCTTAAATTCAACTTTTAGAGCATTGAATTTGGTAACTCAAAGTGATCAGGTAAATCAAAGAGATCATACTAAAATTTCAAAGCTAAAATGGAAAGAATTGATAAACCATTAATTAATGGATTACATCTATATCATATGGTGATAATTCTTCGTCAAAATATGACCTAGCTAATAAATAAGAAGCATGAAAAATTAGGGAGTCATCATCCTTAACGATCATTATAATTTATTTTACTCATAACCGTTGATATAATTTAAAGTAGGGGCCCAAAATCTTGAACAACTATAAAGTAACAAGCATATGGCAGAACAATATCCCATACTGTACTGGTATCAGACCATATTGACACTGGTAATTTGAGTACATAGAGGTATCTGTGCATAATAGCTATGGTTTTTTTATCTTATTGATAATTTGTCATACAAACTGATCCATTAGATTGAAAGAAATGCATACAAAATTCTGTATCCTAGAAAAATAGGTGGCATGAAAGTCCAGACTAAAGTTGGCAACAGAATTATCCCAATATGATTTCTTTTGTCTTCCCCCCCAACCAAACTATTGTGATAACCATCTCAGGTAAGAACTTATCAGAAGTTGAAGAAATAATAAGCATTGCATGTTTTCTACAATTTATGGTTCCCTTTAAGCCACAACATTCTATCGTGGGACTTGAGGACAAGAGCACTGACGCGTAATCCTTTATTCCTTTTTCAGAAAAATATATTTGAAATTCAATACCCACCTATTATCTCCGAGAATTTTAATTATCTTTCCAAATTGGTTTGGAAATACAAAATGACCTAGGAAACAACACACTTCGGATTTTTTTCTGAGAAGCATATCCAGAAAATGTTTCAATAATCAAGAATAAACATCACATGTGAAGTACATTGTAAACGGCAATAACCAATAACAATGGCTACAATCTCCTGAAGTATAAAACTGATGAAAGCTAAAAAATTCCAGAAAAAGCACCTGAGATCCTGGACCAATACATTGGTCACTTCCTCGTAGGCCTTCTACTAGCTCTGTGTATACCTGCTCCTTAGGTATTGCAACAGGTGAAGTATAATATGAGAATTCTACAACATCCACATCACACCATACACCACCTGGGCCCTATAGAAGAGAGATGTAAAAGGTGAGGATGAGTCAAGTAAAAAATCAAGAAGCCACATATAGCTGATGCAAGTATATACACACGCAAAATAGACAACCAAACTGCACTTCAGACAGAGTCAAATAAAATTAGACAAGTGAATTTGATTTGTTAAAAATGAATAAGTCATTCACATTTGAACTCAGTAGTCTATATAGAATGGTATCTTGTGGCTCAGGAAACGCACCATGAAAATGGATGAACGCATCTTCCCACTAACAATAATAAATAGATTAATTTAGCCATGTAACTTTGTAACCACAATATGAAGACCTTTATAGTTGAAAATTTGACAAGCATAGAGATGTGAGTTTGATTGATTTCTTTTTTGTTATACTAATGTTAAGATTTCTACATAGAATAGGATGTCTTGCATAATAAACAAAAAATACTATAATCAAATGACCATAATGCTCCTTTGGATATAAATAATACAATCAAGAGAAAAGAGATAAAAAAATCAACAACATTACTCTTACACGGAGTAATGCGCATACATGCTGCATATAAAACCACATGCAAATATGATGCAGATCAAGATCTGGTTGATTTAGACTTTTTTTGTTTTTTTGGGGTATCAGACGGTTAGAGATCGCGATGGCTGGTCCTGGAGGTCTTAGCCACAAGGATGCTGATCTGACCCGATTGTGTAAGGAAATCAACAGCTTGATGGAGAGGGTTACATAGCAGTTGTGCAAGCGAGGCCAGAAACAGCATGTCCTAAACAAAAAGGAATCTATGGGGATAGATCCAAATCATGAGGTTTTTATGGAGAATGGCACAAATCAGAGTCTGACTCAGAGTGGGAGCAAAATGATGGCATGTCAAACTACATAGATGGGTTTGAAGCACGATGGCATCAACGGAAGCATAATTTTGAAGAAGAACTTGAGTACCACCCTTTCCACCTCCATGCTTCCCGTGAAGAGCCGAGTGAAGGAGAACAGGGTTGATTTTAGCATAGGTCATATAGAAAATCAGCAGGTTGTAGATTGGGATCAGCCACCAATCTTCGATACATATATAGATGAAAAACAAGATCTTATAGGAAATTCGATCTATGATAATGATCATGATTTCGTGGTTAAACAGATACTTGAAGAAAAAAAATGAAGTACTCAAAGGAGAATCAATAGGTGAAGTTGGTTTCGTCCTCAAATGCACTCATCTCGAAGATGCTCCCTTGATATGTTTTAAGGCTGAGCCTAAGCAATTTCAACAACGTTATATAGCTGAACTAATTTAATTTCAACCAGTTTATATGGCTAAACATATTCTATCAACATACAATGACCCTTTCCTCAAGGGTCTCAGATTCACTGCATAATCGTTGTGTTTTGATTAATGCAATAACTCAAAGTCCTAGGATCAAGCCCTAAACTCAATGTGCAATATTCGGGTTGGAAGAGACTGTACATTAAGAGGAGGATTTGTATTAACTTATTTCAAAAATCGAGAACGAGTTTTCTCTAACCAAGGAAGAATGATGTAGATCAAAATCTAGTTGATTCATAATTTTATTTTACTTTTACCAAAAACAACCTTTCCAAAGAGA